TTTAATTTATACTAATTCTAGAAACAAACTTTCTTTAAACGTGAGGGAAAATATAATGACTATTTAGAAAATGTTTTTGGTTGTATAATATGGCCAGAAATCCAAAGGTGTATTTTTCATTTTCACTTTTATAAATAAATATTTCTTTCCAGGGTTTTACCTAAATTTCTATTTTATCTATCAGTCTATATCAATTGTATTATATAATTCATCAATTATAGCTTGTTTATATTTAAAGAAACTAGAAGCAACTTTGAAAATAATTAAAACATAATTTAGTATAAGATAAAAATTTTCTATACTTAATGATATCTCTGAGAATATTCTTTCCCTTAACATTGAAGATTGGTAAAAACAGTATACGATTCTGTCCTTTCCTTTTAAAATTGCCATCAAAGTCTTAAAGCCCGTCTTGATTATTTTTTTAAATTTGGAAAGCTATAATCATATTGTTGATTGATAATATAAGCTTAAGATTTCAGCACATTGATGATCTCAAAAGATTAAAATGATATTTTTGGCCCAGACATGGTGGCTCATGCCCATAATCCCAGCACTTTGGCAGACCAAGGCAGGAGGATCACTAGATTCCAGGAGTTCTAAACCAGCCTAGGAAATATAGTGAGATTTTCTCGCTACAAAAAAAGAAACAAAGAAAAAATTAAATTAGCCAGGCAGGGTGGGCTGTAATCGTAGCTACTCAAGAGGCTGAGGTAGAAGGGAGGTTTGAGGAGATTGAAGCTGCAGTGAGCTATCATTGCACCACTGCACTCCAGCCTGAGTGATAGTCAGAGCCTGCCTCTAAATAAATAAATAATAAATAAAACAGGACTTTATTTTCCCAGCAACTATTCCTCAGCACTACCTAGTTTTGGGACATTAGGGATCCTGTTCTTACCTGCAAAAGAATTTCTTCTCTGTCCTCCAGGGAAACATTTTTTTTTTAAATGACAGTAATGTTTTCATTTATTCCTGACAAAACAATGCAAGGAAATAAAACAACATTTGTCACTAGAACTGACTGGGTTTCCTTTTTAATTAACTGGATTAAAAAGATAATCATCCGTAATTATAGAGCATGATAAAAGTGCTGAAGACCCTTTGAAGTCCTTCCCTTGTTAAATGCTCTTATTGCCACGTACCCACTAACATGCCCTTGCTATCAGTTCACAAGGATTGCAAGCTATTTAAGAGACTACTGAATTATAGAGCTAAGGTACCCTGTATATGAGATCCAGTTAAATTCTCTCCATTTTTCTTAATGGGAAAGCTGGGGATTAAAAAGGAATATGAATTATTAGAAGTCATGGGGTAGATTTGGTCTCACAGATATATCTCAAGCCTGGCACATCGTAATTGCTCAATAAATAATTTTGAGCTCTCTTCCACCAAAATTCACATCTCTTGTCATCCAGATGCTATGACAGTGATCAAGAATCCCTGGATCTTCACGTCTGTGTGTTATGATGACCTCCTTTGGTATGTATAGTAAGATGCACAGGAATGTCCACATTACAACGGCAGTCAGGGATAATTTTTTTTATTGGTTTTATCATGAGCATTAAAAGACCATTTTGTACAAAAAAGTCTGAAGGCAGGGGATAAATTACGGATATTAGAATTCTTGCTTTTTCTGAAAGCTTGCAAAAAAAAATGGAAATAATCCTCTTCAAAATGAATATTCAAGGAGTAAATGGACACAGACACAGGCTAACAGATTCTCCTGATCTCTTTTGACCTCCATAATGCAGGCACTTTGGCTGTAATTTCAGTGCCTTTCAAAAGAATATGTAGTATCTAAAATCTGTTTTGAAAGGATTATGTGGTACTAATGATTAGCCAAACTTTAATTCATACTTATTTAAAACAATGCATGCAGAAGCAGAGGATTACCTTGAGGCAAAAATTATGATTTTGGTTGTTTCTATGTTGAAATTAGACAAAATTTAATTAAATAAGATTTGGAAACTAAGCAGAAGTCAAAGAGAGACTTTTAAAAGCTGGTTTAGGCGGTAGGTCATTTTTCGTTGCAAGAAATTAAATTCCACTGTTTGAGTGAAAGCTTTCAGATTTGCTTCCATGATGCGGAAATGAAAACATTTTACACAGACTGCATCTAAATGTGGATGAGTCACCAATCCATATCTGGCCTTCACCCATGTTTGTGTCAAGCTGACACACCGAAATAAATCCCAGCTGGTCTCCATCTCCTCTTTGAGTTTTTTTTTTTTTTTTTCCCTTCAGTTTACTTGAAAGCATTCCTTGGGGCTGGGCATAGGACAAAGGGCTATCGTGGAGCTTCTGTCCCTCTCTTAATTAATAGCAGAGGTAACCGAGGATATCAAATACTGAATAAAGGCAGATCTTCATTTACCTCCCAGTGATCAAATCTAATTACAATAGAAAATTTCTCTAGATGTAATATCCTACCCTTCCTGACTCACTTTGGAAAATCTGTGTTTGGGATTTAGCCATATGAACTATACCTGGCAACTCAACCGCTTTTTATGCTATTTCCCCCTTCTTACCCCACTCCCTCCCTTCTATTTCTCTCTATAGAACTACATAACTTAGGGGGACTTTCTTAAGCAGACTTACCCTTGGTGCTTGCATTCACACTAAAGAATATAAAACCATGTTTCTTACACTGTAGTCCCTGGACCATATGCATTAGATTCAGCTGTATTTCTGCACCTCAACTCATCCTCACCTACTGAATCAAGAGCTGAGGTCCAGAGACTTTAATTTGTGAAAACAAGTTATATAGCTATATGCATGGTTTTATACTTGTATAAAGTACTTGCTGTCTAGTGAATTTAAATCTGAGAATAAAGATTTAAGCTGAAGAAATATAATGTCTGCCAGAGGGCAGAGGGGCAATTTGTCAGAGAACATCAAGCTATCCTAAATCATACAATATTACCATAATTGAAATATTCATGCTCCAAGTAGATGTGTTCAAGATTCCAAATGCTGCTAGAGAGGAGAGCACAGTCTTCTACTTTTGTCCTGGGTGTTCCAGGTAGCACTCTTATTTTCCTCATTTTTCTTGTATTGGTACCTGTGATGCCACAGAATGTATGTTGCTGCTATAGTTTGCATATTTGTCCCTTCCAAATATCATTTGAAATTTGTTCGCCAAGGATGAAGGTAGGGCTTTGTGGGAGTTGTTTGGATCATGGGGGCAAATCCCTCCTGAATAGATTAATGCCTACTCTTGAAGGAGGTGAGCGAGTTCTCACCTGAGTTCCCATGAGCCCTGCTTGTTATAAAAGACACAGCACCTCCCTCCTCTCTCTCTTGCTTCCTCTTCCACCACGTGATCTCTGTGCATGCTGGCTCCCTTTCACCTCCCACCATGAGTGGAAGCAGGCTGATGACCTCACCAAAGAAGCAGATGCTGGCACTATTCTTCTTGTATAGGCTCTGTAACTTTCTTTATAAATTACCCAGCCTCCGGTATCCTTTTATAGTAACACAGAAATGGACTAAAACACTTGTTATAGAATTGCACAGCATAAGAGAGTCATGCTTATGTTTGCTTCTTCTCATTACTTGTGGTGACCAACCACAGTGTTCCCTTACCAGGTGATCTTTGGCCAAACTCCAAGAGCTCCCTTAATGGTAGATCTTATCAGTTGCTGCTCACCCTTCCCTCTCCATTTTCGGTCATTTGTCACTGATGTTCTTTCCCCTCCCAGTCAGACTGTTAACAGAGGATGCCCAACCAAAGAGTGGCCCTTTTGCAGGAATTTAGATTCAAGATGGGGAAAGGCCAAAATCTGAGAACTCTGCCTTCACATGGATGACTGGAATGGCAAAATAAAAACCCAGGGTGTTTTAGTTCATTCAGGCTGCTATAACAAGATATCATGGACTGGGTGGTTTATGAACAACAGAAATATATTTCCAAGAGGTCTATAAGCTGCAAGCCTGAGATCAGGGTGCTAGCATGGTAGGTTCTGGTGAGGACCCGCCTGTAGGTTACAGACTGCCATCTTCTTTTGTATTCTGACATAATGGAAAGAGGACAAGAGAGTTCTCTTGAATGCCTTAATAATTAGGGCACTAATTAAATTTGTGGGGGCTCAAGCTCATGACCTAATTACCTCTCAAAGGCCCCATTTCTTAATATTATCACATTAGACATTAGGATTTCAACATAAATTTGGGGGTAACATAAACATTCAGTTCATCATACCAGGGCATTCACATTTTGTACCACATAGGCTGGACAATAAAGAAAATAAGTTTTTCTTTTCCTTTTTCTTTGTAGTTTCAATAACATTGAAGTGCAGGATAGGATGCATCTACCTAAAATTTTGCAGACATTGTAACCTGGATCTTGGATTTCTCATATTCAAGTGGTTATTGCTAAATATATTGATGGGAATAGGATATAAAATAGCCATGACACAAAATAGTGGTACTAAGCTTTCTAAAGTCAGAGAATGTTGCTTTCCTCTGTGTATACAGCTTCTCAATCTTTGAATCCAACCAAAAATTACTTGCTATTATCACAGAAATCTGTCGACATTTGTATGTTTCAGTTTGGATAAGTGCAGCTATAAATAACAGAATACTTAAGTAAAAATAAGGATGAATTCATCTGACATAATTAAATATAAAGAGAAAACATTAGAGGATTGATATACCAGCTCAACAGTGCCATCTGAACTCAGATTCTCATAGTCCCTTTGTTTTTCCATCTTCGGCATGTGGAGGCTGTCTCCCCTCCAGAGTATAAGATGATCACCATTGCCCCAAGCATCCAACTCTCAGAGTACAGCACTCCAAGCAAGGTAAAAGGAGTGTGAGCAAAGGGACTTCCTCATCCTGCTGTTCCTTACCATTTTGTTTATTTTTTGGTTGGCAACCAAGTTAAATGCTGGAGAGAGAGAGAGAGAGAGAGAGAGAGAGAGAGAGAGAGAGAGAGAGAGAGTGTGCGTGTGTGTGTGTGTGTGTGTACGGGTGTATGTGTGTGTGAATGTTTTAAAATTTTTAAATCTTAAAAGCCTTTCTGGCTGAAGACCCTCCAGTCCTGTAACTAGAGGATTCTGAGAGATGCTTAGTTGAGAACATGCCTTTGATATGCAGACTAACAAATCCAGAGTCACACCTCCTCTATTGGATGCCTATGCCTCAGAATTACACCCAAGAGACAATATTCTGCTTTAATCATCCCCTGGCTAGGTTTCAGGTAACTAGACCACTTTTCTAGCTTGTAGCCCACAGAAATTATTCAAACTAGCTAATCCTACATGGTTATTTTGCTCTATAAAGGGCACAGCACCTGCCTCCCCTCTCTCTTGCTTCCTCTCCCATCATGTGATCTCTTTGCATGCTAGCTGTGCATGCTAGACCTTGGCCTAAGTTCTTTCCTAGCTCCTGTCTTCTGCCACCTGACCAAAACCTGGCTCTTCCCATGTGGCCCCAGTGTCATGTGGCAACCCCTAAGACCTATGAGTATAATAAACTTTGCTTTCTTATGCCTCTCCCATGTCTCCTTGGCCTCACCTGACTGACCATCACATAAAAGAACAGAACAAATGCACACCCCCAGATTAATCACTGGCAATAACAAATGGATTCAGCAAGGATGATTTAGACAAATTCTGTTTCAACTCTGAGGCTTCAAACATTAACACCTAAATAAAACCAGGGTCTCCATTGGCAGGGATGAAAGAGGGCTTGATTAAACAATCAACACTGTCTATCAGCACACATTTCTAAATGTACTACATTTTATCAATTTTGCCATAAGTATGTTCTTCACATTTTGATATCTCTAAAATTGGAGAGCATCTTGCATATACCATTGGCCATTTTTTTATGCACCTGATGTATTGCAAATCCGTATGTCTTACCCTTGATGTTTCCTTAGAGTAAATGAGATATACAATTGTACTTTGCTTGATTGTCACCGACTCAACATTATCTGCATCCCATTCCATAGTCGTCTCTATATTTGGGGGAAAAGCTTGGAAACTGCATTTTCTAGAATCTATCATGAGTAGATTTCATATTAAATTCTGCCAACGAAGGGTACTCTTTGATACTTGGTAAAAAAGAGAAGTCATTATTCTTATATAATGGCAGATGGCAAACCTGAGGTTTTGTTTGATATTTTCAAAAGAAATCCTTTTGTGAATCACCTAATTTTGTGCTATAGGGAGCTGAAATCATTGATGGTGGCATCCTTAAGATTCCTATGTTTTTGATTTTCTGAAAGCCAGCAATGGCCTCCCTGATATCTCTTCCCCCATCCCTCAGAAAGGTTGTGAAAGACTCCAGATCCTCTGTACTAAATCCTTTCCTAGAGTTATTTCTGTTCTCTGGACCAAACTTTTAGTGATACAGTTTTCTTCAATCTTTTCTACAGTTTCCAATGTGTTTCCCCCTCTTTATTGGAAAAAAAAAACCTGAAAAATTACCTTCCTTTTTGCTAACATGATTTGGGTGTTGCCTTATCTAAGAATAAGCTGGAATAGGCATTTGTGTGTAAACGCAGTGATGGTCTGCTCAGCACAATTGTATAAGCATGGATGTATATATATACCTGATCAACTGTTGAGCCCAGGCGATCCCAACATTTGATTCACCCCAACTAGATAATTCACAGACATGAAGGAAGAAACCTTTAGATCATTCCAGTCCCCAGAAATTTAAGTCATCTCCAGCATTCTGTGCCAAGGCTCCTCACATTACGGAGCATAAGCAAACCATCCATCCAGTGCCCTATCTAACTTCCTAACAAAATGTGTGAGAATTATAAAATGGTGTTGTTTTCCTCCACTAAATTTTAGAATAGTTTTTTCCATGGTAATGAGTACTTTCAACCTGAGGATAGGATTTGAGTGTTCCTGGGTCTTCTCATCAAGTATTATTTTAATATTTCCCCTTTCCATCAGGGTTAATCTTCTTTCCACAACTAATCTATGAGCTCTTAAGGCCATATTTTAGATTTATACTATATTTCTTTTAAAACTGAACTCACTACTGAGCACTCAGTTGGAGCTTTCCATAATGTGCATTGGCTAACTTGCAGGGTGATGCCAGGGTTCTCCATAGGAGCAAGCACTGACCACAGGCTCTGAGAGTTTCCAAAATAATTATTTTTGTGATAGAGTATGTGGGATGCCAAATGCACAAAGGAGCCAGAAAGAACTTTTCTGAGCCAGTATTGCATGCTTTCACCATATTTTATGATGTATATGTGGTTTGCTGGGTTTGTATTTCTCTTTTTACTTGGAACTATTTGTCATTTCATTTGGTTACAATAGTAAATGAAAAAGAAAATCTTGTCTCAAAGTTTGGCATTACACATTAGGTAACTTTGTAACTTTTGAAGTTAGGGTGAAGATGAACTGGGTTCACATACAACTGTTGTATTATTGGCAGGGCATGAATTTGTTTAGGTGGCTGGGAGAATGGCCTTGTCTCCTCTGTTATCCCTTATGACCTCTCCCGATCTCTATGAGCTCTCTTGATCCTATGAGTCAACATCACTGCATGTCTCACATGCACAGGAATCCTTGTTAGATGAAATAAATTAATAAATGCACAATGGCTGTGAAATTCAAAATGGTATGTAGATATTAAGTATTATTATTAGAGTAAATCTTCGTAATTGTACCTAACTGCTGTCTCGTAAGACATCTTATTAATTAAATAAATAAAATACTGCTTTAATGAAACCTTTGAGTCTATAATGGCATATTAAAGAAGAAGGAATTATTCAAAAAACAGTTTTAAATTACAATAATACAATAATTTTCTGGCGATCCTTCTTTCATCTCACATATTTCTTAATGGTGGGCACTGTTCTTATGCCAGTGAATGTTCATGAGGTTCAGTTGTATAGTGTGGGAAACAAATGCTAGGCATGTAATAATGATTTTTTCACAAACAACATCTGGCACTTTGCTGGGCTTCCAAGGCAGATGCTAACATATGAATGCCAAATTTCTCAAGTGGTCATCCTGATGTACAACTGCTCTCTGGCCCAAATGCCACCGCATTCCCAAATGTCACATTGATTCTCTTGCCACCTTCCTATGAATGAGAATGAAAAAAATTTCTGCAAAGAACAGTGTTTTATGTCTTCATTTTATGGGAAAGGCTAACCATCTCAAGTATCTTACAGTTCAGACTTAGCACAGTGCCTGAAATCTAATTTCATTCATCTGCTTTCTTTTCAACTAGATATGTAAACAATGACAGCCTCTCTGGCTACCAATATTGGGATCGCAGTGGTTATGTCTCTAGCTTTTGTGTATCCTTCACAGTAAGAAACAAATATATGCTTTTAAATTAATTTTTTAGCCCAATTGCCATTCATTTCACTTTGAGGAAATAAAATATATGCTGAGAAAAAAAAAAAGAAAAAAACAAAAAAATAATTTGTTTTCTGAATACTAATAGAGTTTGTTGAGAATTAGGTTTTGTAAAATACTGGAAATCAAATTGAATTCTAAAAACTAGGTGATTTCTTCTAATTACTAAGCCATCTTGATTATGTTTGAAAAGAATGGATGGGAGGATTCCAAGCAGGGATAAGCTTTATACCTTGGAGCCAATGACAACACTAAACTATTGGATTAATAAAGAGTATAGCTACATGACTCTCAACTTTAGTAAAAGGAATGGGGTGACTTCAAAACAACATTTAGCTCCTTTAAATCTACTTCATACTCTCCCCTTTCCAATAACTCCCTTTAAGAATTTGCAGAATGAGCTCCTGAACTTGCCGTGATATTTGACACCATAAAGAGATCCTGCTTGGTGTATCATGGGAAGATGATGCACTTTATTTATTAAAATATAATTCATTTTCTACAGAGTAAAAGAGAAGCATTTTAGAATAAACTTTACATTTTCTTCTAAATTCTCAAACTGCAAATTACCCTCTTATTTTCTCTCTCTTTGCTCTCTGGCTCTTTTCTTGCTCACCAAGCAAGGTCTAACATTATTTTGGTGACTTTAATGGCTACTTGATTACACATGTGTTTCTTGACCTTGTCTACATCAAAGAGTTTGTCTTTGTCTCTATTTAAACCACCAAAACCACATTCTTTCATGACCATATCCAGCATATTTTGTCTTTGATATGTTAGATGCAAGTGCCCTACTCCCTGACTGGATAACATGTTCAATTATTTCTTATTCATTGGTGTTTTGATATTTGGGGATCATTGACCAGTTTACTCTTCCCAATTGTCAGTAAATTTCAGAATTCACCTCTTTTCTTCTTAGTCTTAGATTATCTGCTCCATCAATTCAATTCAAACTCTTAAAAATATCCCTAATATCTATGATCTTTCACTTTTAAAAAAGAGATAGCTTTGGCAGCCTTCTCAATTTTCACATCCTGACCTGGATCTATAAAAATTCATGGTCTTTGCTCTAAATTATGATCTCAGTGCTGCTGGACCACACTGCTATATACCCATGTTTTACCACCTCCTATTCTCCCCAGCGCTTAAGTCCTTGATTCTTCTTGGATTCTCTTCATCACCCACATTTTGAGTGTCTTAAAAATAGATGCCACTCTACTGGAACTCTCTTAATTCTTTGCATTTACACCTAATCCTTTCCTGAGTTTGCACATTTGCTTTTAATTTGTCCCTGTAAGAGTGGTGGGGCAGGCAACATCCTGTCTGGCAGCAACAGCAGCCCTAGAGCACAAACATGTTGTAGCCCATGCCTAGGATGGTAACTAAACTGATCAGAGAGTTATGAGTGGTACTGGCCACATAGAAGTAGTGCAGGGCACAGTACATGTAGTATCCATTTTGCAACTGCAAATTCGTAGCTTTCAGAAATGTCCACACCAGGTAACCTGAAAAGCAAACATGAAACTATACTAAGAAAGTGAGCAGTGCATTTGTTTTTCTAAGATAAGTTTGTCTCTTTCTAAAGAAGCCCAGGCTAAATTGAACACCAGATTAGAATAAGGAAAAGAAGAATATGAGGAAGAAGAGGAGGAGTCAGAGGAACCAGGATAATAACTAGAACTCTGATCTCTGAAACTGATTTTTTACCAAATTCAGAGTAAAATACATCTTCTCATAGCATGGATACCTCTCATTCCCCCAGTTGCCAACAAAATGGGTTGGTGATTAAAACTTTTATCAAAGTTCTCAACACTTAAATTCTGAATGGAGAATTCTAGGAGTATCAAGGTGAAAACACAATGTTTGGGGAAAAAAACTAAAATTAGTGGAACCCAAGTAATAAATACTGGGAAACAAATGAGACAAAGTTAATGGCAGATAGCATCTAGAATATGTCAAACTGGGAGGGCAGGCTTCTATTTCTGCCATGGGCATTTGCCTACTGCTTGTTTAATTTTTACATCTGTATGCTTCTTTTCAAGTCTCCCTGGCACTTCAGAGTAAGTTTTGTGAGATGCTAGAATCTGCCAACCAGGAATGCAGTTGATACTTGTCCTTGAATATCATAAAAACATGCTCAACTATTCTTACTGGGGCAGTACTTCTGTAAACTGATGATGAACAAGGGGTCCACAGTGGTTTCTTTAAAATATATAATTGCTTGCCTGCAAGAGATACTCACATTCACAGGCCTGGTCTCATACAAAGTCACCTACAATGTGTGATTATCAGGTCTTGCGGAATTCTTCTGGCCAGGTCTCCAGCATGGCATTTTTCATTCCATAATCACTTTTCACATTCTCTTTCCTCAGCAGGATAAACATTTATCTTCCTTCTCTTGGCAAAGTACCTATATTTCCTTTAAGACCGACAATCTGACAGTCTCCAACTTCTCTGGGGAGAGTGAGTTACTGACTCTTCTGCATGTCTCTATGCTTTTCTTGTAACATTTTTCACACCTCAGTGTGGTGATGTGCTTGTGTTCATGTCTATTGTTAGGTTGTAAATACTGCCAGGGCAAGCTCCATGTTATTCTGTTTCCATTAACATATAGAATGAATTTGAACACATTGAAGGCATTGGCTGCTGAAATAATAAATTTCATAAAATTTATTCTTACCTTAGACCTTTCCTCTTTATATTAAAGCTTTGATGTCTTTCAAAATGTTGATTCCTCACAGAATGACTCATTGGTGGAGTTTTTTTTTTTTTCTTTTACTCATTTCTAATATGATGAGTATCAGATTATTTTTTGAGCATAAGTTTTGATAAGGGGAAATTGGTGTGAGGACAAGGGCATTGTATAGTAGTGAAATGGCAAGCAAAGAGCTCTAGAGAACAAGGAGACAAAGGACAGCAAAGATAAATACAATCAATGAGTATCACAATTTTCTCCAGGCCTGGTCTTGCCCAATCAGCTTTCCCCATCCCACTGCACAAACACAGTTGCCATTACGTGTCCAGGTTAAGGCACTTCTCATTAAATGAAAATGAGGGGGAAAGAAAGGACAAGTCTATGTAATAATTCCTTCATCAAATTGCATTTATTGCAGTATTTGGCTGCAAAGCCCTTAGCTTTAGTAGCATCAGATTGTTATTTGTACTTCCATAACCTAAGTATGTATATAAGGTTAAACATTGTTCCTTAAGTCTCATGCAACAAGAGTCATAATTATGAAAGATGAAGGGCGTGGCACTTGGTAATGCTATATGACTAACATATAAATAACAGGTGTATGTATTTTAATAATCTGAAATGAACCTGGAAGCCGTCATTCTCAGCAAACTGACACAAGAACAGAAAATCAAACACTGCATGTTCTCACTCATAGGCGGGTGTTGAACAATGAGAACACATGGACACAGGGAGGGGAGCATCACATACTGGGGTCTGTCGGGGGGAAATAGTGGAGGGACAGTGGTGGGTGGGGAGTTGGGGAGAGATAGCATGGGGCGAAATGCCAGATACAGGTGATGGGGAGGAAGGCAGCAAATCACACTGCCATGTGTGTACCTATGCAACAATCTTGCATGTTCTTCACATGTACCCCAAAACCTAAGACACAATAAAAAAATTAAAGAAAAAAAAAGTCTGCAAGTCAAAGAGAGAGGCCTCGGAAGAAACGAACCCTTCTGACACCTTGATCTTAGACTTCAGAACTGTTGAAAATACATTTATGTTGTTTAAGCCAAAATAATAATAATAATAATAATCTGTAACTTAGTATTACCTAGACTTAAACTAGAAGAGAGCAATTTGCCAGGTATTCTGAGGGTATTTTGGAATTTATCAAAATACTTGCTATGAAATTCCAATAACATTTGGCTTTAGAACTGCAAACACAATGACTGTCTGGAGTGAATCTTTTCTGAATTAATATTAAATCCCTTTGGCCCTTAGTACCAGTACTGTTGACAAGTATCTGCAGCTGGAATTGCTTCCCCTGGCTCACCTTTCATTCCATCTTCAGCGGTGTGATTTAGCACAAAGAAGAGTATCTTGAGGGTGAACATTTCTTTTCTCTGCCTGACCTGACATGTTGACCTTCTGCTCCCTGACCATTCAGGCACAGACCTTCCCTACCTGTATCCTTTGTCAATTTCTTTCCTGCTAGCACTATTCTTTAGCTGGTTAACTTAGTTTCAAATAGGGCCCTCTGACGTATGGCCTTATTTGGCTACAGTAGATCCCCAGAAAACTCATATTATTATTATTATTTTCATTGTGCTGGAGGCACTAAGCCATTCAGTTGATCCCTTGATAGGCAATGAAACATGGGGGCTAAGCTAACATTAATTTTGCCTGAAGCACAGAAAAATCCTCAGAAATAGAAACTTTTAAGGAACAAAAATAGCAAGTAACACACACACACACACAAATCTGACCTGTTATGGTCAGGCTTTTTACTTTTTTTTTTTTTTTTTAAATCCACGAACCCACACAGCTCAATGAAAATATGATATTGAAAATGATATTCCCTCATGCTCCAACTTTAATATTTTCAGGAAGAGCTGTAGTCAGCATATACGTCACGTTGGGTTTTTAATCTAGCAAACTCATTTTCACGTCGGTCACTCCAGGGAGCATCAGAGCCTTGTGCCAATAGTCAACGAGGTCATTTGTATCACATCCCTGTGTATAGAAAATTGTGTGGCCAGTCTTATTAGAGGTGGGGAAAATCAGGCTTGGATTCATACAACAGTGTTGGTGAGGGACTTGGAGAGTTAGGTATGAATATGAACTCTTGGCCTGCTATTCATGTGTTTGTCTGTAGTTGAAAACTGACATCCCTTTACATGAAAAATTAATAGAAACAGGTAACAAATAAATATTAGGTATATTCCAGGTACTGCTCTGAGTACCAATTTCATTCTCTTAACTGTTCTATGGTATAGATATATTCTGATACCCACTTCACAATAAAAAAACCAGGGCGCTGCAAAGTTGGAGAATTTACTCCCATTCACACAGCTTGTGAACAGTGAGCTTTCTCTTATGTTGTGGAGGTACTTTGTTTGTTTGATTTTATTTTGTTTTAAATCTTCCAGTGGTATCTTGAGGGAGAAACTACATCTCTGTCTAGAAATGATTGTTCCTGGATTCCACAGTCATAGCTGTTAGGATTTTTTTGATTGCTTTTTTCCCCTCTCTGTGGAAAATCAAAGTCTTTGTAATCAAAATTATTTTGTCATATTGTGACACAGAGTCATTGAGGGATTGGCATTGATCATTATTCAACTGTAACTTTTAGGTGAGAGCCCAAACAGATGGAGATTGATGACGGATTTAATTATTTGGGTACAAGATCTGCAAAGAAGGCCAGAGGCTTTTTGAGCCCGCGTTTAGTTGGATCCTTCGGAGTCATACCGTGTGTATGGTGTGATGTTGCTACAGTTCTTGATTTCTCCTCCTTTTGCAAAGGCCGGGGAAAAGAAGTTGCACAGTACCAGGCACCTTTGCTATGTGGTAGTGACATTTCTCAACCTGACAGCTTCTGTGACACGGCCCATCAGGCCTCCACTGGGGAGGCCTCAGTGGAAGGATCTGGCATCTGCACCCAACATTGTTAGATATTTCCTTTAATAGTTCAAGGCAAACAGAAAAAACTCTGAAACAGCAGGAAAGCCTTTCAAACCAAGAGTGATAAGAAACACTTTCAAGACTGTCCAGGATTTATCGCTCTGGTCATCATTCAATTGACAAAATGTTATTTACTGTAGCTCAGTAATGTGGACCTTTTTGCTGTAAGATGCAGTTTTTATTTCACCGTCCCCCACCATGGCTTTTGACTGGCCCACATCTATTTTAATAAATTAGGAATAATATTCTTATTTTAGTAATGAGATTTCTTGTGAAATATGCTGCAAAAGCATGCAAGGGACAACCAAACAATTATGCAATTCCTTTGCTTTCTGAATAGAACTTAAGTAGAAAAAGAAAAATCACATTCCTTCAATTGAAAGAGGAACAAGAGCAAAGCTAAGACAGGCAAAGAAAGATTTCCTCTGCACATATATCACTGCTGAGTCAGACGGGCTTGGGGAACAAATGCCCTTCAACCTAAGGACGTTTAGCATTTCGGGGCCTTGTACAAAACTATTTCCTATCCACGGGAAGGCTAATGAGTGCTCAGGGAAGCAGCAGCAACCAGGGAGAGATAGTGCCTCTAAACGGTAGTAATTTTACTCAAAGGGATGTTGCCATTCCTTCACAGGAGTTAAATTAAGAGCAATATTTATAGAATCTCCAAGGTATGGGTCTTCTGAAAAGAAAATGAACTTGCTTTACTTCTGAACAGAGTGAAAGGCATTAATCAGAAATGCATTAATGGCAAAATCCATTTTTAACTGCTTGTTACTCTAAATCCACTTCAGTATCCAGTATAAGAAGTGGCCTTTGGTATTCTGATTGCCTGCTGAGTAAGGATAAGAGCTGGTGGCTTCCTGTTTCTCAAGCTCCTCATCTGCTTCTCTGCATTTCCACAGTCCCATTGTGCCTGTCCCCTATTAAGGTGCCTGCAGCCCAAGGTCTGGCTAAAATTGTAACTGCCAGATGGTTGATAAAGCAATTTGATCTAAGGTCCATTAAGAAATTGGTACATTTAAGTAGTGTACTGCCAGAAAGCAAGCTTAGAGTGGAAAACAGACAGGACTGGCTGTGGGAGAGCTTCAGCTTCATCAATTAATAGCTCTTAACCTTGAGACAGATGCTTTATCTGTCTGTGCTTCCATTTCCTCATCTGTAAAATGAGGATAATAACACCAACACTGAATGTCATTGTGCGAGGTAGATGAGTGGTACATATAAAGTTCCTAGCCCGGTCCCCAGCAGGTGGCACCTGCTCAGCCTGATACCAAGTCCCTCATCTTTCCCTTAATTGTGATAATCCTTCCAGGAAAAATTGCTTTGTAGAAAAGGACTGAGGGGGAAATACAATTCTTTTTTTGAGAACATGAACCTTTAATTGTGGCTTTCTGGGCACTATGACATTTCTGGATCCCCTTGGATTCTACCCTGTAATGGGTAATGAAATCTACTGACAATATTAGCATGACATGGAGCTGAGTCAATGGGGGAAAAAGCTCTGCAAGGGGCCATTCCCAGACTCAATCTCAACTCTTCCATTTATTAGCTACTTGTGTGTTCTTGGTTATCAGAATTTTTAAACTTTCTGAGCCCCATTTTTTTCAACTATAAAATGGGAATAACAATACTTTTTTATTTGCATACTTGCTAAGACTTATTGTGGTTCTAAATGTGTCAGCCCCTCTTCCGGGATTGTTAACTGCTCTCCTGTTTGCTCATCACAATATCCTATTAGATACCTTCTGCAAAATCATTCCTTATCATAAATGGCGAGCAGATTTTCAGATTAGTTAGCAGAAAGGACAGAGTTGGGACA